CCACATGTCTTAAAGTTGTCTAGGTTGAGAAACGCTGCTGTAGAAGGAAACCCAGACATCTCTGCCTTGCAGCAATGTGCAGGGTTTTAGTGGAAGGAGGACAAGCATTCTGCTTATGCTCAGAGGCTTCTTGGGGATTTCTTCAGCATTTACCATGAGAACTGGAACTTCATCTTGCCTTGCCTCCTTAAAGTGATACAGACAGCTTTTGCATTTTAAAAACTGCTAACAGCCTCAGTCTGCAAGGCACCACGATACGCAATTAGAAACGAGATGCCCAAACCTCCTGTTGGTTCCTTCATTTTCCAGACTTGTATTCGTCCCTTCCTGTTTCTACATCCTTTTATAATGTCTTTATCCCACTTTAGACTTCGTTTGCATTTTTGCACAGAGATGTTATTTTTGTCTATAGGTGTCGCTCAATACTGGCACTTCCTATATTAGGCGCATTAGGGGATTTTTTGTGCATCGTCGAATGGCGCTTCATTGAAAAACCTAGAGCGGCGTGAAGATGGATCATTACTGCCTTTTGATTTTACCAAGCGCAAATGAGCTCATTATTAATTTGGTCGCTAGGTGCAAGCTAGTTTCAAGGCCTGGAGAACATTGGTGTTTCGTTTTGTTTTTTCCCTCCCTAGAAAATAAAATAAATGGTTTTTTTTAGTGAGTTTTTTATTTAGAAAAGGTTATGTTGCAAACAAAAAGGAACCCATATAAATTGAACGGTACGCCGTCATGCTCTTTGCCCTTGATGTGGCTTTGAAAGGACGTGGTTTTAAAATCGGGTGCCATGATTCATTTTTTTTCCTTTTCAAGGCTCAAAATGAATTCAAATTCCTCTTGAAAAGAAGAGAGAAAAGTCAGTTAGCCTGGATGCTCTACTCAATTTACCTGTCAAGCTTTTATGAACCCCTAGTTTATGGCTTGGCATTATGTGCAAACCAGAGCTAAACAGGAGCCACCCACCCAGCCTCTGACTCTCTCAACTAGTCCCTACCGTCAGTGACGGGTTGGACAGACATCCTCTGTCTCTTGAACAGAGCCATCTCTTTCAAAGGGCCTCCTGATTTCAGGTGGGCTTGATGGTGGGCTTTGAGTTCAGCTAGAGGGATGAATCGCTGGGTCATTCGCACAAACTGGACATCGACCTACAAGCACAAGGAAAGGACACTGGTGGGATTAAGGAATTGGCACCGTCCCTCACTGGAAGCGAGTCCCACAGTAGATGGAAGAGTTGGTTCCCCAACTGAAAAGGATTTGGGTCCGTTCCATAAACATTCTTGCTGGCTGGGGAATTCTGGGAATTGAAGTCCACACAGCTTAAAGTTGCCAGGGTTGAGAAACACTGCTGTATGGCAAATCACTGCCAGTTCGTAGGAAGGCTGTAAGAAAACCAGTCTCTGCCTAATATACACAGAGACGAAGAACCATCATATAAACTATGATGGTGCTAAGAGTTCTGAAAAACTGGCTGAAACTGGGATGATGGGATCAATGCTATTTTCCATCTCACTGTGAATATCCAACTGAATATGAGGTGGGACTGAATTAGGGAAGGACCATGGAAAACGACAGGTCCCAGTTGAAATCCACCTTACCATGGACCATTTTGGATTCTCTCTCCTGCTGGAAGCATCATAATGCGGATTACTTTTTTCAAATTGGGTGTGATCAGGATAGGCCTCCTTCACAATCTAGGAGGGAAGGAGAGAGAGGACCTCAGTTGCTGCAGCCACGTAGCCACAGAGCAGAAAATGCCCATCTCAAACGGTTTGCAACAACATCTACAAGGCCCATCCACGATTTCCACATTTTACAGATCAACGTTCAATCTTAACGTTTTGCACGTCAAGCCAATCTTCAGCCTAACGGTGGGGCTTTTCCAGAACTGTGGGCATGTTTCAAACTCTTTGCTCACCTTGATGACACCAGCAATCCCAGGGTCCTTGCAATTACTATGGTAGAAAAAAGCTGCTTGTCCAACTTTCATATCCCTCAGGAAATTCCGTGCCTGCCAAAGGAAGAGAGTGAATTTCCTGCTTCCGTGTGTGCAGAAAGCAAACCACAGCTTGCCCACTTCTATATGACCCATGTTGGAGTCTGCATTGCTTCGATTTTAGAAATGAGAATATTAGCAAAAGATGCAATTGTAATGAGGGATCATAATGAACTTTGACTGGGCAAAGCAGGCTGCTTTCCCACGTCCCACTAAGCCAACTTTTAGGATAACCACCATTTCTTCGGTAAGCAACAAATGGCTGGGTTCATATCTCATTGTAAAATGGTTTGGCCCAAATTCAACCAATTGTGGCTTACTCAGAAGTAAACTACAAGAGATTGAAATTCATGGAGTATTACACCAGACCTTAACTGCTCTCTTAACAGACTTCAATCTAAAAGCAAATTATGTAGAAACTGGGTAATTTCAAATCTATCCAACTCAAGGTATTTCCTTTATTCCTTGCCATATTTTTTTGCAGGGAGAAAACATGAAAAGGAGGTTCTCAAAGCAATTAAATCTCACCTGTGCTTTCCCATTTTATAAGTTTAAAAAAAACTGTCCAAAAATATATTCAACAGCTGTCTTACCTGATAATTCCTGACTCCGTCCCAGCTAGCTGTTTGATGAGGCTCAGCTTTTAAGTCTTCAATGCCAAACTGGTGAAGGAAATAGCAAACGTCACATTACTCAGTATGCTCCAACTGCTTTTTTCTCCCATAAGAGATGATTTTAAATATTTGTAGTTAAACATTAAAGAAAATAGATCATCCAACACTGAATTACTGTATCAACAAACATAAAAAGAAGGCAAGGGAGAATAAAAAGGAAAAGATACATGAATGAACAAGGATTTAGAAATGCCTTGGAAGATATAATCATGGCTGGCTGGGGAATTCTGGGAGTTCAAGTCCACCCATCTGAAAGTTGCCAAGGTTGAGAAACGCTGCTTTACCAACTCATAAAATTAAAAGAAAATAACTTGCTCACCTTCACATCCACTCCCTTTTCAAACCTACTCTCCGGTTCAGACTTCATAAGCCAGTGAGTATAAACCTTCTTGCTCTTCTCCTCAACCCCAGCAGGTCCTTTCAAGCTTTCTCCAGTCTTCCTCCATCCAGAACTGGTTACCTTGGCTCCCTCCTCCTTCTGGACCTCCGTTTTGGCCAATTTAGGCTGTTTGGCAGCTTAAGGTGACAAAACCAGAACATCAGAGATGGACTAGATTTTATTACGTCGGGAAAATCGATCCTAAATGAAGCAACCACGAAGGAGCAAGACCTCATCTGGAAAATCATAACATATATTTTTGGTTTTTTGGAAGCAGATCTCCCACTTTCTCTCTAGAGGTTTCTGGAGGGGCATATTTAAATATGTGTTTTCCACGTGATATTCATAAGATGCACCTGTAATCGGCTAGGCTTCTCTGATGTCACGGACGGTATGTGAACATTCCAGCAACTCTAAATGAAGGTGTTTGCTATGGAGGATCAGCCATACCTCTTCTGCGTGGGAAATAAACAGCAAGCATGACAGTAAATGTAAGGAAAACAGCTGTTAGATCTTGCTGCAAGTTGGAAAACAGGAATGGTTTAAGGCAGCGTTAGATCTTGCTGCCAGTTGGAAAATAGGAATGATTTAAGGCAGCGTTTCTCAACCTTGGCAACTTTAAGATGTGTGGCTTGTTGGCTTGGGAATTCTGGGACTGGACGTCCACACACCTTAAAGTTGCCAAGGTTGAGAAACGCTGGTTTAAGGAGAAGCATACCGCTAAGAAATGAAACATGCAGAACATGCTTAATGGGAAACAGAGGTAGGAAGGAAATAGGTTTAATAAAAGTCACATTTCGATCTAAATTGTCCGTGATCTAAGCAAGCCTCCAAATGGGTGTCTCGACCTACCACTGCTGCATCTTGGAAGACCCCCAAGTCGGTGATCTAACTCTGCAGCAACAGCCCTTGAATGGCTTCTGTTCTACCATCCACCATTCCTGAGCGTGTAGATCAAAAAGCAATATTGGGCTAAGTCCCCTAAGAAAGGAGAGGCTTTCTTTCTCAATTCTAAGCCACAAGAAGAAACCGGAGTCTGAGCAGAATCACACCTCTGCTTCGTCCACTGACCTGCCACGGCCGGTCGGCCTCTTTTCTTGCCACGGGAAGGCATCCTTCTGTTGCCCAGAAGCAGATTGGGCACCTGTAAAAAGATTTCAGAGGTGAATCAGCATGGGACTCTCAGCACCCAGTTCAGGTTCTAGAGACAGTTCAGGTTTCATTTCCTTTTCAGGTTGCTAGCCCTCATGACTGTGCAGACAGAACTGCCTGGATGTAGGAGACCAACACACGCTAGAAATGCAGAGTCCAGAAGATGTGCATGGGTGTGTACACACGTACACACTAAGTAACAACACAATGGAGATCTTAATAGTAAGCAATTACTCCAAGACTGAAACTATTATTATATAACTCGTAATTTGAGGTGAATTGAAGCGGTTCTTTTTTTAGGTTACCCTTCGCCTTGGATGAAACGTGAAATAATCCTCGAGGTTCGTAATACTGACACCCTGAACTGCAGCGGATACTGACAGAATTTTTGCTTTTCTCGTTTTCTCTTCGATACCTCAACCTTTCCAGATAAGCTGCATGATTTCTAATCCCGTTGCCTCAAGCGGGCTGCACTGAAGCCAAACCACGTATCAAGACTGATCACATTGCAATCATCATCGAGGACTCTTTCACGTTTCATCCAAGGCGAAGGGTAAGCTAAAAAAAGAACCGCTGCAATTCAACTCAAATGGCTACTTACATAATCACAGTTTCAGTCTTGAAGTAATTGCTGACTATCAAGGCTTACTATCACATTGCAATAAGAGGAGGAAGAGGAAGAGGAAGCGGAAAGCAAGCAAGCTAGCTGCGTGTCTGCCCGCATGCATGCATGCATGCATGCATGCGGTCGGGAAGGGGCTCCCGCACGGCAAATGGCCGAAGAGCAAGCGCGCGGGGGAAGGGGGGAGCGCTCCCCGACCTGCTCGGCTCCTCCGCCGCCCGCAGCCACCGCCCGTCTTTGCAGGAACCGGACAAGGCCAACTGGGACGGGCGACCCGGGCGGTACCAAGCCGCAGCTGTGCCTTTAAGACCCGCCCCTTCCCTTCAACC